TAAACAAATGGACATGGATAGGAATAGTGTATCTGCTGACCATGAGGTGGAGGGTAGATTCTTAGATAAGGAGAGCAGTTTGGAGTCTACAAAAAATTCTGGTCAGGGCTTTTCTCGGTCAACAAATCTAATGAACAAGAGAAGGTTCAGAATTGCTCCTTGTCATTCGGGTAGTGTATGTTCGGAGGGTGAAGTGGAAGTAAGATTTCATGATAGAATATATAGGAGGGTGACTGGTAGCACGGACAGGGAGTCAGTGGAATACGTTAGGGAGGTGTCTCAGCCATCTCAAGACTCTGTTCAAGCCAGGCAGGAAGCGGAACATACTAGGGAAGTCTGTGACATGCTGGGAATTTCTTTTAAAGGGGGGAATCAAATTGTAGAGGATGAGATTTTCAAGATGGAATTGTTGGGGATTGGAAAGGCCTCCTGATTGTACCTTGTGGATTGTATTTGGTGTTGAATGTTATTAATTAAAATGTCAAAACTAAAAATGATTACATGGAATATTAGGGGGCTTGGGAAGTCTGAAAAAATCAGGGCAGTGTCGAGGTTGGTTCTTAGAGAAAAGCCGGCTATTTTACTACTTCAAGAATCAAAATTGAATGTCTGTAGAAGTGGATTAACAAGAAAGCTTGGGGTAATCTGCTCAGAGGCAGCTGTTTTGTTCCAGCTGATGGTTCGGCAGGAGGTCTAATATGTTTATGGAATGAGAATGCTTTGAGGTTAGTGCACAGATTAACAGTGGAAGATTTATGGCATTATCAGGGAAGTTTAAGATGAGCAATTTTTGAATGTGTCATTATCAATGTGTATGGTCCATCGGTAGAGGCTGATAAAGAGGAATTTTTTAGGGATTTTTTATGTGCTGTTCAAAGCATCAACTTGCGGTCTGCTTGGGGGGGGACTTTAATGCTTATCTAGACCCTGAGGAGAAATGTGGGTTTACTCAGAATTGGCACTCTATGGATCTGCTTAGGTCTTTTATTCAGTCTTCAAATTTGATGGATTTACCGCTAGTAGGGGGCGATTTACATGGTCCAATAATAGAGAGTCAACTACATGGGTAAGGCTGGATAGATTTTTGATTAGTGGATCATTTTTAAATCAGTTCCCAAATGTGATCCAAAAATGCTTCCCAAATCCCTTTCGGATCACAATCCAGTTTTGTTGGTAGAAGAATGCAATAATTGGGGCCCTAAGCCGTTTCGGTTCTATAATTACATGCTTCAGGAAGATGGGTTTGTTGGGGCGGTGGAATCGTCATTATCAAATCTAAGGAGGGGTATTGTGGTAGGGGTCTGTTTCACTGCTTAGAGGAACTAAGCAGGCTATTAGGAATTGGCCAAGGAATAATCACAGGGGACTTTCCGATGCTATTTCTGAATTAGAATCCAGAATTAATGGTCTGGAATTGAAGCTACAGGAAGAGGGGACTTCCTTTCAAGAACGGGACTTGATGATTGTTGCGAGGAAGGAGTTGTGGAATTTGCATAGGAAGGAGGAGAGCATTTGGCTGCAGAGGTCACGAGTGAGATGGAGTATTGAGGGGGATAGAAACACAAAGTTTTCCACATGTGTGCGTTGAATAGGAATAGGTTTAACACCATTTCTTCATTGAAGGTAGTTGAGGAATTATTTCAGAACCGGATCAGCTGAGAGGCTTTTTTTTAATTATTTCAAGGACAATTTTAACTCGGTAACAACCCTAGAGGTGGACAAAATCAATTTGCCTTCTGCTAAATTGACAGATGATCAAAAGAAGCTTCTTGAAGTTAAATTCTCAGAACACGAGGTGTGGGAGGCAGTCTTCCACTCGGACAGTGCCAAAGCACCGGGGCCAGACGGTTTCACCATGGGTTTCTTTAAGAAATTTTGGCCATCTCTGAAGTCATACATTATGAAATTTGTCGAGGACTTTTATAATGGAAGGATTTGGGAGCACGGGGTCAATCATTCATTCCTAACGTTGATTCCAAAGATCAGAAATCCTGAAGGTATAGAAGATTACAGACCGATAAGCTTAGTTGGCAGTTTGTATAAAATAATTTCCAAAGTTCTAGCTAGAAGGCTTGCGGCTGTTATTAGTGTTCTGGTTAGTCCGTCACAGTTTGCCTTCATTCCCGGAAGGCAGCTACTGGACTGTGTCTTCTTGGCTAATGAAGTTATTGATGATTGGAGGAAAAAAGAGAGGAAAGGTGTTGTTTTCAAGGTGGACTTTCGAAGGGCTTATGATTCGGTGGAATGGCCGATATTGTTGAGACTCCTGAGAATTATGGGATTTGGAAATAGGTGGCTTTCTTGGATTGAGTTGTGTATCTCCTCCGCTTCAATTTCTGTTCTTGTCAATGGTTCTCCGACCAATGAATTCAAGATGGGGAAAGGGTTAAGGCAAGGCTGCAGTTTATCTCCTATGCTGTCAATATTGTTGGGGAATTATTGAATCTAATGTTGATTAAGGCCGCTGATTGTGCTCTGTTTGAAGGGTTCAGTGTTGGTAGGGCGGAAAATAAGTTTCATTTGACGCATCTACAATCGCAGATGACTTAATACTTTTCTGCAGGGACTCTTCTGCTCAAATTATGAATATTAGGAGAGTTTTGAGGATTTTTGGCTTAATGACAGGCCTCCAACTTAATTTATCAAAGAGCAAGTTATTTGGTGTTAATATGGATGAGGAGTTCTAAAGGAATGGGCTACGTTCGCAGGTTGTGGTGTTGGGGCTCTTCCTATGACATACCTTGGTATACCGATAGGCACTTACAGAAATTCGGATCTGTTGTGGGAACCAGTTCTGCAGAAGTTCAATAGCAAATTAGAGGGCTGGAAAGCAAAAACATTATCGATGGCAGGGAGATTAGTATTAGTGAAGTCTGTTTTGTCGTCCTTGCCAATTTTCTTTCTCTCTATCTTCAAAATCCCTCTAAAGATTAATCAAAAGTTGAATTCTCTGATGGCCAAATTCCTTTGGGGGGACGATCCCTCGAAGAAGCGGATTCATTGGGTGAATTGGAAAATTGTGTGTCAACCGTACGAGGAGGGTGGTTTGGGTGTCCTGGATTTGTCGTTGGCGAATAGAGTGCTTCTGGGGAAGTGGGTTTGGAAGTTTGCAAATGATAAACATTCTCAGTGGAAGGAGATGATCTGTTGCAAGCACAATTACCAATTTGTCTCTTTCAATTAATAAGGCTGTTAACCCGCAAGATTCATGGATATGGAGAGAATTGTGAATAATTATGAGAAAAATGACGATATTGGGAATTGTCTGAGGTCCAATTCCAAGATCCAGTGGGGAATGGTAGATCAATCGAATTCTGGAATGACATTTGGGCTAATAATTCCACCTTAAAAGAACAATTCCCTAGGATTTATGCTTTATCGATAAACAAACGGGGAAAGTTGTGGACTTGGCTGCTATGATAATAATTGTTGGAGTTGGAATATTTGTCTAAGGAGGAATTTATGTGATTGGGAATTGGATCAATGGAGATATCGCTAATGACTTTGATTGATAATATTGTCTTGATTGATGCTGTTGATGACTTCCTAATTTGGTCAGGGAGTGGAGATGGTTTGTTCTCAGTTAAGGCCTGTAGATCAGCTCTTATTCGAAGCTCTGGAGGAAATTTTCAGCTTGGGAGTTGTGGAATTTGTTCATCAATTTATGGGAGGTTAATACTGTTCTGCCCAAAGATCCCCCGTCTCTACTTAGTTCATGGTCTGATTGAAGGCTTCTTCTTCTATTTGGAAATACATCCCGGGTGTTGTTATGTGGTCGATTTGGAAGTAGGAACTTAGTGGTGTTTGAAAAATGGAATTTTGAGAGATCTACACTGTTCTTCATTTGCAGATTCAGGCTGGCCAAATGGTTTTCTAGCTAAATTTCCAGAAGTTAACATCCAGGAGATCTATTAATAGGAGATCCGAGGCTGGCAGATGGTTTAGCAGTCAATTTTCGAAGAAGAAGAAGGATCTGTGCTGGTATTCACCTCCACCTGATTTTTTATAAATTCAATGTGGATGGGGCGTTAGAAGTGATGGTTGCAGGGTGGAATCGGAGGTCTGTTGAGAGATTCGAATGGCTCTACCGTGATCTATTTCTCTAAGCCTGTCGGACCTGGTCCTCCTCTGTTTGCTGAGTTAAAAGCCATTAAAGAAGGAATTGATCTATTTCTACATTCGGACTGGGCGTCGAAGGGAAGACTTATTCTCGAAAGTGATTGTAAGACTGCAGTGGATTGGATTTTCAGGCCTACTGAGGCTCCTTCGTTCTTCAGTTCTTTGGTTCGGGAAATTGGGGATGTAATTTCGGGTGGGGATATTATGGTTAGGTTGATTCCTAGGCTTGTAATTGGGAGGCGGACAAGTTAGCTAAGGAGGGGATAGGTTGAATGTCCTTACTGTTAGCGGTTATGTTTGGTATTTTAATTCGGGTGATGTTGTAAGTTATAGTTTTATGTAATTCGGGTTTACTAATATATTGAGGTACTCTTTTCCTCCTTCCGCTAGTTGCCTCTTATCAAGAGGCAACTATGAGGGAGGTTTTTAATGAGACCTCCTATTCCTATCAAAAAAAATTATATGTGAAAAAAGGGGGTCATGGAGCCATGTTTGAGGGTTTTATCATCTTAAACTCTTACTCTTCTTTTGTTAGTACGGATGGATAACGGAAAAGTAGGAAAGAGTTTTAATCTAATTTTGAGCTACAGAATGTGTTTATCATATTTAAAAACAATCCGTCCTCCATTTCTGTCCTCCCAACTAAACAAAGCATTATTGAATACTGCTTGTACTTACACTTGTTCCTTAGATTTTCATGAGATGTTCTGTCTAAACAGTGATGGGTTCCATGGATCATCCATTATCAAGCTTGTCTGTTGAGGGAGCTGTGAGGTCTGATGGAGAAAGCTTTGCCGAAACTGTCTGGCAACACAAGTATTTAGTTTCTAATGATTCAAGCATAGCTCCTGGGGGTGGATCTGGTGGTACTGTACTTCTGTTTCTACACACACTGACTCTTGGTGAATCTGCTATTCTTTCAAGCGTAGGAGGATATGGTAGTCCCAAAGGTGGTGGTGGTGGAGGAGGTGGAAGGATTCATTTTCATTGGTCAGACATTCCCATTGGAGATTTGTACCATCCTATTGCTAGAGTGAAGGGAAGCATCTATTCTAGGTTTGTTTCCAATGTAATTTCTCTTTCTCAATTGTAGATTACCAGGCTACTGATGGCCCTGCACATTTGATAAAATTTCTGGGTCCATGATATATTGACAATCAATACTCCATGTGGTGTTTGTTCACCAATTGGTTTTGTATGATAACTGCTAAGAAGCTTTTCAACTTAGAAATTTCACATAGCTTCCACCCCTTTTTTTTTCTTGGGTTGAGGCGTGAACTTAGAAATTAATCAATGCTTGCTCATTTTTTTAATCTCAGAAGTGTTGAGTCCCAAATACTATTGCATGGTGAATGCTTTATGGGTATGTTAGAAATACAATTGTTTTATGTAGAGTTTCTGTTACACTGTAATTCATGGGGAAAATTGTATTATGTAATGAAATGATTAGATTTCTTTGCTTTTTGGTGTCTGACAATTCTAAATTGAAGACTCGAACTGCAATTATTATTTTGTAAGATTTTCTTTTGGGGTTTTATTAGGGTAGTAGACTTAATTTGTTATGTTGTAATATTAGGGTGCTAGACTTTGGTTGCATTAATGAGAGTGGTTTAATTAATGTCCTTGATGCTTTTTTATGGACTTTATAATCTGGATATCATGGTGATGTTTTTATGATTTTTAAAGTGGAGGATTAGGTAGAAATGAGAGTGGTTGTGGAGAAAATGGAACAGTGACTGGTAAAGCTTGTCCGAAGGGGCTGTACGGGACGTTTTGTGTGGTAAGTTGGCAATTTTGTTACATTCTGAAAATTTCCAGATTCTTTTCATTTAACTAGAAATTTGGTAGTTGGGGCTATACTTTTATATGGAAGCACTTGGAAATTTAGAAAAATAAAATTCTACAGTAATCAAATAGCATGAATCCTTCATTTAAATGTCTGACGTGTTGGAGTTTCAAGGGGAAAAAGAAATCTATCCAATCCAATTATGTGGCTGAATTTACAGGGGAGTTTTATATGAATGAAATTTTTGAGGAAGTATAAGTTTTAAAGTAATGTTGGAGAAGTCTATCATTCATCTGTTTGTATTAGTTTGTAAATCCTTAAATTCTTCTTTTGAACCAATAAAAATTGATGATACTTTTGGTTGTTAAAGTTTGAGAGTTTGCTACTATTTCTGCTTTTTCACAGGAATGTCCTGTTGGTACTTACAAGAATGTTAGTGGATCTGATAGTTCTCTCTGTCATCCTTGCCCTGCTTGGGAGCTTCCCCGTCGTGCCATTTATACTGCTGTTCGAGGTACATTCAATATTGAGTAGATTATATCTTATATGTGATTTAAATGGCAAAAAAAAAAAAATGGCATACTGCTCTTTTGCTGAGTAATTGGATTTTTTGTCCTGAAGTACAGGGTTGAGATGAAGCTTTTGAAGGGTGGGGCTGGCAGGGGCCTTGGCCCCACCTAAGCTAAAATGAATGCCCAATTAATAAAAGCTTTAACAATTAAGAAAAATAAATAAAATTCTTGTTTGGCCCTCAAACTTCTTTAATTTTGGCCACCTCTTTCTAAATTTATATGTTAATATGATTAATTTTCTAGCCATCAATTTTAAATCTTATATCATTATTTATTTGATCCTCCTTAATTCTTTATTTGGTTAAACAATATTATACGTAATATTTAAAATTAAGTTTTTTCAATAAATGGAAAAGGATATATTAAAATCAATCATTATACTCTTTATACACAAATAATTGTGCTATTTACTTGAACTATTATTAATAAATCAAAATGACTGTTTGATGTTCTATTTACGTGAACGGCCCACAAAGTATTTTTTCTCTTTTTAGTTTTATACTAATAATGTTATTGTTCGATCCCTCCAAAATAACATTTCTGGCCTCACGTCTTGGGAAGGGTATTTTTCTTGTGATTTTTTCCCTCTTTTAACAAGCTAATTTCAAAAAATTTCTTCAGTAAGGCAAATTGATTTTCAAACTCCTCTCCTTTCTTGGCAGGAGGTATTGCTGAAACCCCTTGTCCTTACAAATGCATTTCAAGCAGATATCACATGCCACACTGCTATACAGCACTTGAAGAGTTAATTTACACATTTGGGGGACCTTGGTTATTTTGTTGTCTTCTAGTGGGTCTTCTCATCCTCTTTGCACTAGTGCTCAGTGTTGCACGAATGAAATTTGTTGGAGTTGATGAATTACCAGGCCCAGCTCCCACTCAACATGGCTCTCAAATAGATCATTCATTCCCATTTCTGGAGTCATTAAATGAGGTGGTAAACAATTTCTATGCTTTGTTTCTTTTTATTCATAGAATTCCTGGTCATCTATACTGATAATTATATTCTATATGCTTTCATTTCCCTTGCTGGGCTATCAATCCCTTTTTCTGTTTTTTCCCCCCATAACAACCCCTGGTTGGCTTCAATTTTGTCTTTATAGGTATTGGAAACAAATAGAGCTGAGGAGTCACAGAGTCATGTGCACAGAATGTATTTCATGGGTCCTAATACTTTCAGTGAACCTTGGCATCTGCCCCACACTCCACCAGAAGAAATAAAAGAGATTGTGTGAGTACATTGCTGTATTTTATTTTGAATCAGTTCTCATACATCGCCATGTTATCTCCAATAGTTCTGAGTACTGGATTTTATTAATATTTTATCATTATTATTTCACATTGATTTTATGTACTTTACCTGGCAGATATGAGGGTGTATACAACATGTTTGTGGATGAGATTAATGCAATAGCTGCTTACCAGTGGTGGGAAGGTGCAATATACACAATTCTTTCTATTCTTGCTTATCCACTTGCTTGGTCATGGCAGCAATGGCGCCGAAGAATGAGGTTGCAACAATTACGAGAGTTTGTGCGATCAGAGTATGACTATGCTTGCTTACGTTCTCGCCGTTCACGGGCTCTATGAGGGGCTTAAGGTTTCTTTTACTTCCGTCTTTGATTTACTTTGTTTGCTTAATGGGTTAATTTTCCTTGATTTGCATCTCCCAGTTGGCTTTTTGGGTCAATCTCAAAACTGTTTTACTTTTGCTCCATCTTTCCTGCTGTTTTTCTCATTATTGTCATCCTTTTAAACCATGGACACGTCTTAGGACTGAGATAGATGTCTTTTTATTTGCTATCTTCTTTCTAGTTTGTTAAACATTTTTCTGCTCATGGTGATTCATATCATCTAGAAAGCCAGAGTAGATTTTATGTACCAGCCAGAAGTTCTTATATACTCTAGAGATATCCAAGTTCTCTGTTTGGTTTGTTTTATAACCGATGGACTGATTAAATGGCTCCTTTAATACATGGTTAGATGGATGCTACTATTTTGGAGGTGAAAATGGTTGCACATCATTATTTACTCATTTAAAATAAACTTTATACTATTTTGCTGCCAAAGTATGATTCTTGTATGTAGCTTCACACTTGAAATTATCATATTTATTCACTGTAGGTATCTGCAACTTCTGATTTAATGCTTGCTTATGTGGACTTCTTCCTTGGTGGAGATGAAAAGAGACCAGACCTTCCTCCTCTGCTCCCTCAAAGGTTTCCTATGGCTATAATTTTTGGTGGTGACGGAAGTTATATGGCTCCATTTTCCCTTCAAAACGATAACATTCTTACCAGTCTGATGAGTCGGGTCAGTTTTAATATTTTAACCATGTACTTGGTGAAAGCCTGGGTTCATCTTCTAAATTTTTGTTATAATGAATTCTTTTAATTGTTGAAACTCTTACAGTTAATGCCCCCTACTACTTGGTATCGACTGGTGGCTGGTTTGAATGCACAATTACGCATGGTTCGTCATGGACAGCTAAGAGTAACATTTCGACCTGTCTTGCGATGGCTCGAAACCCATGCAAATCCTGCTTTGAGAATCTATGGTGTATGCATTCGTCTTGCTTGGTTTCAGGCTGCACCTAATGGTTACCACCAGTATGGACTTTTGGTGTCCTCCTTTGAAGAGGAAAGAGAACCTGGAAATACTGGAGGAGTCCAGACTGAGCTACTGTCAAGGTAATATGTGTGTGAGTGACTAGATCATCATTATTTGTCTGAAATTGAATCAGTTCAACGTGGCAGGTACCAAAGACGCATTGGCATACATTGAGCATGTATTTGATGAATATTAGAAATATGTAGCTGCAAATAGGATGGCCTGAGGGCGTAGTCGGCAGAAGCCCCATGAAGGGTAATTATAGAAAGATATTCAGGGTCCAGCCCTTTTTAAAAGTGAAGGGTGTCACCCCACTAAAGATTTCTGTTATAAGAAAAGCCATATGGCTTTCTAAAAACGTGCCACGCGACACATAATATGTGTTAAAATTAAAACAGTTCATAGAACCTTAAAAATCCTGAAAATAGAATTAAATCTAGAAAGTCTAAAGTTTGAGAAATTTTAATATATATTTTGTTGCATGTGGATTGTTCCTAGAGTGTTGTGTGGCTTTTTTTGTAACGGAAATATTTAGTGGGGTAACTTGCTTCACATTTAGGGACTCCAGGGAGCAAATTGGACCAAAAAAATCTTTAGGTGTCAAAAGTGATAATGAGAAACTTTGGGGGTCAAAATATTATTTAACCCTTTTAAAAGTAGTGTGTGCATGCATATGATGGAATCATTTGATTCTCTAATTGTATGGAATTTAACTCTGTTACTTTCGTGCTTGCTTCAGTGTGAAGACCATGGACATGCAAAATGAATCTGGTTTTCTAAGAGAGGTGCTTTTAACTCAAGGTCACCAGAGCAGTGAAGGTTTTGCAAGGCGGAAGAGGGGTTACACAAGGCTTATAGATACTAACAGCATACAAATGCTTGAAGAGAAGAGAGAGATGTTTTACCTTCTCTCTTTCGTAGTCCACAATACTAAACCTGTCGGTCACCAGGTAGCTCATATGAACTTAAGCGGTTATGTTATTTTTTTCTTGTAAACTATCTACAGATTTAATTCTTTCACTTAACACCTTGTTTATATGATTGCAGGATCTTGTTGGGTTGGTCATATCGATGCTACTTTTAGGAGATTTTAGCTTAGTGTTGCTTACGTTCCTTCTGTTGTATTCAATATCGTTGTTGGATGTATTTCTGGTGTTGTTTATTTTGCCTCTTGGAATTCTTCTTCCCTTTCCTGCTGGCATAAATGCTTTATTCAGTCATGGACCGAGGCGTTCTGCAGGTCTTGCACGTTTCTATGCATTGTGGAACATAACATCCTTGGTTAATGTTGTAAGTTGCTCTAGCTTTTAATATCTTTTCCCCCTCGGTAAACTTACTTTTGTTGTGGTCATCGTTTTTCCATAATTCCAGTGACGAGGAATATATGGTAATCATCTCATCTTTCAACAGGTTGTTGCATTTCTTTGTGGGTATATTCACTACAAGAGTCGGTTGTCATCAAGTAAATGGATCCCAAAGCTTCAGCCATGGAATATTAACATGTAAGTTGATACAAAGTAAACTTGGTAAAAATACAATATCCTTGCTTAATACGACGACAACGTGCTGTTTCGGATGCAGGGATGAAAGCGAATGGTGGATTTTTCCAGTGGGACTGGTTTTATGTAAGCTTTTCCAATCACAGCTCATAAATTGGCATGTTGCGAATCTAGAGATTCAAGACCGTACCTTGTATAGTAATGATTTTGACTTATTTTGGCAGTCATGAGAAACCACCGTCTAAAGAGATGCATACACTTACACATTGACAAAGTTCTTTTGTTCAGTTATTTTTGCTGTCCTGTTGTAGAAATAGAGAAACAAAGGAGAAGGGATTTAAAGAAAAATTATTAGTGAGAAGATGAGGTCAGCATTCATTTATGTAAGATGTCAATTCTCCCCTTTATTTTTGGGAGCTCCAATGCTAATAACGAATTGGGTGGCTGTTTAAAGAGAAGACATTTTATATGTAATTTCGTGTTATCGTAGGGATCCAACATTCCTTTTCTGTTGACGCTTTATTTTATGATCGACAGATCAGTGTCTTTTGGTTAATAATGATATAACTAATTTATAGGAAGATATTTAATTGTATGTAGAATAAATATAATTATACATGGAGAGTCGACAATTACATATCTTTAGTATATGCCCCATTTCCAGCCAGTGAACCATCAATCTTGTTTCCATTTTGTGTTGCAGAAGAATCTCTTTGAGCTATATATGATTGTAAAAACCGGTCAACATACATCTTTATCGAATTGTTTAAATGAGATATATATATATATATATATGTGTGTGTGTGAATTTCTGTCCAGCAGCCAAATAATATTGTTCCCACGGTTAATATAGCAAATAATAAATCTTTATATAAATCTTTATCGAATTTCATGAATCAAATTATTTTATATTTATTGAGTTTCAAGAAAATTATTTCAGTGGTTAAAAGAATCATTATTATTTCTAAAGATTATATATATGAGTACAAATACATTGTGAATCGTTATTATTCTTAGAGATCATAAGTTCAAGTACAAAGGTGATTAAACATATATTCTTAAATGGTTGAGAGTATATAAATTCTATGTGCCTGCCTATCCAATAACCAAAGCCCAAATCTTCTAAATCCATATCATGGATTTATTAGAATCCAAAGTCGGAGTTAGTCACTTTTCTAGCCGTATGTAGATCAGAATCCATCAAAGTTTGAAATGGCAACTCGGGCCTAATCAAGGCCCAAATTCTCTGAACCCGGCCGATGGGTAAGAAGTACATATGATTTTCAACAAATTTTTTGATCTGGGTAAAGTATATAAATGGTCACTGAACTTTTTAGATGCTTGCATTTAGATCCTCAAACTTTTAAAACTTTCAATACAATCACCAAACATTTAGTTCGTTTACAATATGGTCCTGACGTAACGATCGTTTCACTGCCGTTAGGGTAAATTATATAAATGATCACTAAACTTTTTAGGCACTTGCATTTAGGCACTTGCATTTAGGCCCAAACTTTTAAAACTTGCAACAAAGTCATCAATTACATTCTAAACCCCAAAATCCAAAATATTTCAATTACATTCTAAACCTCAAATTTCAAAATACTTCAATTACATACCCAACCTCAAATTCATAATCCATTCTCAAAATATATCATAATAAACTAAACTTGAAGTAACAACCCTAAACCCTTAAAACATAATCATTTCAAAAAAAAATTAACCAACTATAAGTGATTATGTTGGGTTTAGGGTTATGTTGGACCTAAATACTCAATTCAATTTATAAAATAGTTAACGCAATTTTTTTAATTTTAATTTATAAAATTTAAATCAAGTCGTATTGAATTGAATTTTCGAGTTTCTGTTTAAATTTAATTATAAATATTTTTCATATTTTATATTATTTGATTCTAATTTCAGTTTATTAAATAGTTGACTCAAAATTTTTTCGATTTTAGTTTATAAAATTTAAACCAAGTCGAATTGAATTGAATTTTTGAGTTTCTATTTAAATTTAATTATAAATATTTATAATACTATAATATTATTTGATTCTAATTTAAATAGTTTTTAACCATATACAAATACATATATTTCTTCATATTTTTTTCCATATGTGATATACATATATCATACAAAGTCAAGGGACTTGACTCAAACTTAAAAATGAATCCACTAATTACTAAAAATGTTGAGATATTCGAGTTGTATTTTACAACTCGATTTTAACTTGAAATTTTTTTAAGTTGAGTTTATGAAATTACAACTCAAAGTCAATTTGTATCAAATTTTTTGAATCAATTCAATTCGAAAAATAATTTTTTCGAATCAAATTGAGTATTGTTCACTCATAGTTGGTTAAATCTAACTTTTAAATCCTACACCCAACATAATCACTTATTGTTATGGACCCAAAATGAACTAAATATTGTTGATTATGTTGGGTTAATTGGTGGGGAAATTTATCATTTAGGGTTATATTTTTAGGGTTTAGGGTTGTTACTTCAAATTCAATTTGTTATGGTAGATTTCGAGAATGGGTTATGAATTTGGGGTTGACCATGTAATTGAAGTATTTTTGGAATTTGAGGTTTAGAATGTAATTGAAATATTTTGGAATATGGGGTTTTGAATGTAATTGATTACTATGTTGTAAGTTTTAAAAGTTGAGGGACCTAAATGCAAGCGCCTTAAAAGTTCAGTGACCATTTATATAATTTACCCTAACGGCAGTGAAACGATCGTTATGTCGAGGACCATATTACAAACGAACTAAATGTTTGGTGATTGTATTGCAAGTTTTAAAAGTTGTGGGACCTAAATGCAAGAATCTGATAAGTTCAGTGACCATTATATACTTTACCCTTTTGATCTTGATGAGATAATTTTCAATACAAGAAAATGGAAAATTCATGTTTTGAGCGAAGATTATTTTCCACTGTTCTAGTCTCGAGTGTTTATGGATTCTAACCTTTAGCAAAAAGGAGGGAAAAGAGAAAGACAATAACATTAGAATTTAATAAAAGAACTTGACTGGCGCCTACACCGGCATTCGCTGTACTGTATAACAAACTATTTTTGAAACTTGAAGGGGTTTAGGGTTTTCCAAATTATATAAATTTAGGTCTTGTTGATCTCCAATTGTTTTCCCAGTTACTTCCACCAATTTTACAAGGAAAGTTTTTTGAGTGTTTGATGGATCGTCTGCGCCCAAGACAGAGACCACTCTTCACTGGATTTACAAAAGGTGAGGTAATAAGAGCTATTTTCTTATCTTTTGAATGACATTTGTCTATATGTATATTCCAGTTTCTTAATTTCTTAACAAATGTGTATTTTGAGGTAGTATAACTTTTTGCTTAAATTCATAGTTTTTTCCCTGAAGAATTTCACCAGGTTGCTATTTTCATGCAATGTTATCGATAGTAGTTTCCTTTACGAATGAATAGTTGAGTTATTTGACTCCAAACTCCAGGTTATGAGCCCTAGTTTCTAGAACAATTGGTGGTGTGGGTCCTATGGGATTTTACATATTTTTAGATTTCCCTGAATGGGTAGCTTCCTATGTCTTAACGTTTCCTGTGTTTCTGCTTCTGGTTACCTTGAATACATGTTAATGTTTTTTTCTTTAACATGGTGAAGTTCGAGCACTTGACTAGTTTCTGGTTGGCATATGTGATTTTTTTATTATTCCATGCTTGATGTTTTGTGTAGGATCTTTATTGATTTGGCATGGTAATAATGTACACATTGTTTGAACTTTGAATGTTTTTCATTCAGATCTTTTGCTTTAAACGAACTGATGCTATCATTATTCGTGTTTCTGTATAACACTATAACTGTTGAGATGCCTCATGTTTGCGGTTTCTGAAAAGCTATTATGCTAAGATGGGATCATAAAACATATGGTTTTTCCACTTTGTTACCACTTTATGCACAGATTGAAAAGATGGAGAAATTGTTCATGGGATCAAAAAAGCTGCTGCAAAGGAAAGAGTTCTGTCAAAAAATTGCAAGAAGCTTTAGGTTAGTTGAATTTCATGTATCACTTCTTAGTCCCCCTCTCTTTTGTCCCTATTGTTTTAACCAAATGAATGTGGTGGCACTTAGATGTGTGTTGTCTTTGTAGTTCATCCTCGGCTCGTGCTGGGAAGCCTATCGTTAAATGGACCGATGTCTTTCTTTACTCTCTTTTCAGTTTCTGCATTATTTTTCTTATTATTTCTCCTATTTTCATTTAATTTTGCTTATATTGTTTTTATATAACAGTTTAGGAACTCCCGAATGATCCCTAATTTGACAATTGTTTCTCAGGTACAAAAATGGTTTATTGCTAGGCAGCAAGAAAGCACATTGAAAGTTCCGTCTGAGAAAGATGGATCCAAAGCCGAGTCTGGAATCCCTCAATCTTACCCTCTAAACAATAGAGGTCAATGTTATCAGATTCTTAAAGGTGTGTGTGTATCTTTTTGGGAGCTTGAAAAGAACTGTTCAATTTGCTACTTTAAACCGTGGCCCCTTTTGGAAATATAATAGCTCTACAATAATTGAGAATACAACCTAAGACTTTGTTTTTACATGTAATGTTGTATATAGACTAGTTGTTCCCCGGCCTTAGAATTTATTTTTGATTGGCCTTGCCTGTGTAACCATCATAACCACGCACACAAAAAAAGCGTCTTTGTCCTTCGAGTGGCAAGGCTGAGAATTGGGTAGCCTGTGCCATGCTATTTCTTTTTTGTTTTACTTGTGAAATAAAACTTCTATCGGTTTTGTGATTTAATACACGAGTTTGTTGTTCTTATTCACTTTATGTTTCTATTCTACGAGTGTGGAAATCTTACAGGGTTTTGTTGTCATGTCTGCTTTTGCTTTGTGATCTAGAAACCATTGACAAAAATAAACTTGGAACCTTTATCACACAGCTGAAACATCCTTTCATGTTCTGTGGATATGCATGTTGTCATTGCTAATTTCTTTACTCTCGCTCTAGGATTTGTTTCAAATGTAGGAGAAAAGGTCCTGGATCTATCTGAACTAGAATTTGAGGCAAAGTCGTAAAAAAATGAAGCATGGTAAGCATATGTTTCTAAATTGATTCCATAGCATAATTTTATTCTTTCTATTGTGATTATTATTTTTCTTTACGTATAAAGAAAACAAAATCTTGAAATGACATGCACTTGTAATGTGCAGGTATGATGTTGATACGTTTCTCTCTCACCGATATATCAGTCCCATTGAAACTGTGAGTATCCAAATCATATTACCGCATTCACTATCTAGACTGATGCTCTCTTCAAACTTGTCAGTTTCTATCATCTTGTTGAGCCAGCAGAAATTTCTTTAAAGGAGTTTAATGTTTTCTAATGACTGAATATTTATTTTACAGCTCGTTTGATAAAATATATTGTTTGTTAAAGGAAGTTCTTGTCAGATTTGCTGGATTTGGAGCTGAAGAGGATGAACCGGTTAACGTAAAAAGGGCAGTACGATAGCGATCCATCCCATTTGAACATTCCGAATGTCATAAGGTGAGAGTTGGAGATCTTGCAGGTGACAATATACTCCACTCATTGTTTCGAAAATTCTAAAATAGTCTTCCAACTCTTGTTAATTCATTAGGAGAGAAGAAAC